ATTTTCTTTTTCTTTTTCTTTTTGTGTTAGATATGATTTTCTTTGTCTTTTTTTGTGTGTTAGATATATCAACTATATCTAAATCTGATTTTTTTGGGTTAGATGTGATTTTTTTTGGGTTAGATTTGATTTTTTTTTTTGGATTAGATATGCATTGGGTTGTGAAATTGCTGGTTTGAACGTTTTGAATTAGTTGGGAAAATGTGTTCTTCTTGCTAGCTTTGCATTAGGCTGTACATTGGGTTAGAAGTTGCAGATTGGGACATTTTGAATGAGAAACACAGCTTTGAGTAAATCCAAATATGCACTGCTAGATCACGTGATATGGTGTTTTTTCCATGTTGTGAAATTGGAACAAGGGCATCATGTTTTTCATTGAACCCGCTAGGGTATGCAATGCTAAATCTCATTAGAATGCATGCTGTTCAAGATCAATTATTTGATAATTTTAGTAATGAAGATAAGGTTGATGATAATGCGGAATCGATTTCAGAGAACCCGATTGNTGCCTTCAAGGATGGTGGATACAATGTTGCACAGTGCATGAGAGCTGTGGCTGAACCCTTGCTTCTCAGTCACTTTGGCGTAGCAATAATTGACGAGGTGTTCTGCAGGTACAGGAAGATTCTGGCTGATAAAATGTCTAAAGAGAGAACTGAGTTCATCAATGTCACTGTTGCAATGACTAAAAAGGGGTGGTGATCATCAAAATGGTTTGTTTTTAATATTGTTCAGTCCATATGTGTGAGCTAAATTGTGTGGAAGTGAGTTTAATATNACGTTTTGAATTAGTTGGGAAAATGTGTTCTTCTTGCTAACTTTGCATTAGGCTGTACATTGGGTTAGAAGTTGCAGATTGGGACACTTTGAATGAGAAACACAGCTTTGAGTAAATCCAAATATGCACTGCTAGATCACGTGATATGGTGTTTTTTCCATCATGTGAAATTAGAACAAGGGCATCATGTTTTTCATTGAACCCACTAGGGTATGCAATGCTAAATCTCATTAGAATGCACGCTGCTCAAGATCAATTATTTGATAATTTTAGTAATGAAGATAAGGTTGATGATAATGCGGAATCGATTTCAGAGAACCCGATTGTGGTAATTATTTTAATCACTATTAATTGTTACAAAAAAAATTACAATTTTTGTAGGTGATTTACCACTTTGGTGAGTCTTTTTATCATTTTTGTGTGTTTTTATTATTATTATGATAATTATTTTTATCACTCTTTTTTGTACCACGACAATAATAAAAATACTCATAAATATAATAAATATTAATATAATACCAAAATTTTATTTTTCAATTGCAGATTCAAACTTATAACTTAGGTATTATGCAAATGTATCATAATCATGACTCAATGATCACTTTGATAAAATAATGCCTCAAGGTGATAAAATAATACCTCAAGGTGTGCTGTCCGCTACTGTGGTGAAGTGTGCTGCCATGAACCAAGTGTAAATCATGCAGCACACTTATGCCATGTGGTTCGATGGTCAGGTGGTATAAGCATGTGCTGATTCGGTGGTCAAGTGGTAGACCCATGTGCTCATAGTTGTTGACCAGGTTATATTTTATCTCAGCATGCAGTATTCTTATCTCTATCTTAAGTAGAAGATAACTAATGAAGACCCATATGAGAAAGGATGTCTTTTCACAGAGTTTCTTATTATCCTTGGGATAGGATACGTCTTCTATTAGGATATATTTTATAGTCTTGAAATTGGTTTGGACTCTATCAAATGTACTGCTATATAATAAACAATTTCTCAAGAGCTATGGCTACGTTTTTGGTCATAAGCTATTTCGTTTTGTTAAAAAATTATCAACTTCTTCACACTTAACATCAAGCACCAAAACACGAGGACAAGACCAAATAACACGTTGTTATGTTGTACTAATTAGGAAGGGGGACCAGACTACGGTACATCCTCTTGAATTTTTGGTATGAGACTGAAAATTCATTGTTTTCCGTAAATTCATCTAACAAAAAACGTGACTCACTCATTGTTGTTTATATCCTTCATCCATCATTGTTGTACATTATAAGTGAACAATATGTCAATCTATTTGTCCTGTTTTTGGTTTACACGTATCCATTTTTGTATCATTCTGCAGTGTATTTTTAATCTTTTAATCGCCTAAGATTTCAAGTACCATACCAAAATTCAAAGGGATGTACCGTAGTCTAGCCTTAGGCGGGGTCATGGAGGGTTTAAACCACACACTTTTATGGGCATCGGGTACAGAAGCTTTACACTAATGAGAGTTGAATTTCAAACAGTTGTCAGTGTAACGAACACCTCATAGTCATAAATGGAGCCCTTACCCACTGCCATGCACGTTTTCATCTCAAATTCTGCTTTTTTTGAAGTATAAAAGTACGGTACTTACCAAAAAAAATAGATTTTTTAATAACATTATGACATCATTTATAAATTTTCAATAACTGCAGATAGATTTTTGGGGTCATTTTGTTAGAAGCGATCTTAACAATTATAAAAACGATTCCAAAATACTTCAAAAGTTGTGAGTTAATCTAAAAAAATTGTAATTCTAACATTAATGCTAATTGTAGGTGAATTGGGCGACATCAAATAAATCCATCCAATGACATAATGTCTAAGATATTCCTCTAGCATTGCATTAACCCGCTCAGTAAATAAACTCAAACACTTGTATCTCAAATCACAAAACTTATAAAACTTGGCAGTATGATGGTGAATTTTTTTTTTTTTTTTGGGGGCAGTCTTCTCCTTCATTAAAAAGAAAAGATCCAAGGCAATGTGAGTATTATAACATTGTATTGCGATATGGACCAGATAGCATCATGTGATATGAAAAAAGAGCGCACACACAATATGGAAGTACCAATATGCGTGATTAAATTCAGTGGTATTAGTCATGAACCGGAAATCGACAAACATGTTCCACTAAGTAATTCAAGTTTATCTGTTGCTATGATTGTACTGATTATTGTATCATATTAGATGTAGTGACACATGAGAAACAAGTATCCGGTGATCAAATTTTCTGTCGCTTGGTGATGCGTGTGAGTAGTTTTACAAATTTGAGTTTTGAATTTTCACAGTATAATATGTTTTAAGGTAATGTCAACTTTAACAAACCAAAAATACTAACTAATCCCAATTTGTGCCTGATTTGTGTTGCCAAACATTTTTTTGATACTTTATACACAAGTATAGAATGGAATAATGGGAATGATGTGAGCCTTCCCTTCCTAAGGCAAATGTTAGTTGTAGGCGACTTTATGAGGTTGAAAGCATAATAATTGAAAGGGGATTATTAAAAGAAACTAAAATAATCACCACCCCCTTCATGAGATATGTGGGTGTCTCTACAAATAGGACACCCCCCTTGAACACTCCCAACAGAGAATTGAGAGAGAGATGGAAGTAATTGAAGTTCTTCACATGAATGGAGGAATTGGTGATACAAGTTATGCAAACAACTCATTAGTTCAGGTTTGCATGTCCATTCAATTCCATGTAATATATCTATGTTTATTGTAGACCTCTGGCCAGATACACAATCACTTTTACATGCAAAATTTTGAAAAGGCTATTGGTTGTGGCTTGATTGGTTAGGTAACATTATTGTTTAAAAGGCATATTTTGATTAGTTAGATAACGTCATTGTTAAAAGTATATATTTTGATTGGTTAGATGATATCATTACTAAAAGTTTATTGGAGGATACAAGTGGAGCAATTTCATTGCCTGAATGAGATAAGAAATCCTTTGCAATTGGTTAGATGATATCATTGCTAAAATCTTATTGGAGAATACAAGTGGAGCAATCAAATGTATTGCTTAATTTTCATTCTCTTGTTAAGAGTAAGAGAGGTTTTATTTACTAAGAGTTTGAGAGGATAAGGTTGAGTAAGTTGTACAAGGGATTAAGGGCTTGAGTTCGGGATTTAAACCTGAGTGGTGCAGCTTGTACCATTGTATCCATTTCTCTCAATAGTAAAGAAAGGAGATTGGATCGCGTCTCATGGACGTAGACAAAAATATTTTTCTGAACCACGTAAACCTTGGTATACTAAATTGTACTTTGATTTTCTTTATTCCGTTTATTTATTTTCTAGTTGTTGTACTGACCAAATTGCTACGAAGGTAAATTTCCAACAAAGGCNAGCCCTTACCCACTGCCATGCACGTTTTCATCTCAAATTCTGCTTTTTTTGAAGTAGAAAAGTACGGTACTTACCAAAAAAAATAGATTTTTTAATAACATTTTGACATCATTTATAAATTTTCAATAACTGGAGATAGATTTTTGGGGTCATTTTGTTAGAAGCGATCTTAACAATTATAAAAGCGATTCCAAAATACTTCAAAAGTTGTGAATTGATCTAAAAAAATTGTAATTCTAACATTAATGCTAATTGTAGCTGAATTGGGCGACATCAAATAAATCCATCTAATTCTCCTGGTTCGCGATGACATAATGTCTAAGATATTCCTCTAGCATTGCATTAACCCGCTCAGTAAATAAACTCAAACACTTGTATCTCAGATCACAAAACTTATAAAACTTGGCAGTATGATGGTGATTTTTTTTTTTTTT